TTCTTTTTCCTTTATATTTCTTGTATGTACATGGTTTTTAATGTTGTGACCAGGAGGAGAGGCATTAGCACACCATGTTGTGAAATTCTCACTGTATTCTCGACATTTTAATGATGCACTTATGAAATTTGATGAAAATGTAGTATGTGTGAAATTGGTAGTATTTCAAGTAAGAAATACTTTCTGCCAACATTTATACCAAATATGAAATGGCCTTGGAGTTATTTTAATGGCTAGTATAATGCTATGTTATTACACTCACTGGTTTGACATTAATGAATATTGTACTACTTATTCTTTTCTAGAAAACATTCATTCCCTAAAACTATACAAAATTTATGGAGCATACAATTTGCAGCACAGTCCAAAGCACACTCGGTTTGGATACTGAAAATCTTTTTTAAAACTGTTATTTAAAGGAATACTCTTTGAGCACACGAGTAATAAAAAGAAATAGAGAAAAGCCTGTTTAAGATAATTTTTAGAATCAAATATTATACAAATATATCAGTTCTTAGAACTGCCAATAGTTTAGTGCAAGGAATCTCTCTTCATTGGTGTTTTATCAAGCATGAACTGGAAAACTGGTATTTGCAATTATTTGGTAGATTTAAGTTTGTAAGGTTGACCCTTCTGAGGAAGCTCAGGTGAGCTGTGGTGCCTCTGTTTATGGTCACCTGAACTCCCTGCCCTGTGTAGAACATAGTTGACAGCCTATGCTCACAGAAATTATATTTTCTTATATAATTAATGCTTTATTGAAATAACCTTAAAAGTTATTTAACCCCTATTTAGTTTTTATTGATAAGGAAAACACCATTTAGACTACAATGTGAACACCTAACTTATTGAATAGTGACTGTTTTCTGTCTCCACTTAATATAAACTGAATTGGGTCCTCACAGCCCAAATGGAAAACACTTAATTCAATCTGTCCCTCTGCCTAAAGTTAAAAGATCCTCTGAGCTTGGAAACTACTTCCCCTTTGATTCAGGCACATTTGGCTTTCCTTCAGCTGCAGCAAAATGCTTGAGAAGTGCTTATGACCTTAGAAATTTTAGACCTGAGAAGGATTGTAGATATTCCCCTCATGAACACCTGTATTTTACAAGTGGAGAACCTCAAGGCAGTGGTTACACCTTTTGTTGAGAAAAAGACATTGAGTTTTCCTTGAAGTTTTTGGCACTTCATTCTGCATTGGGAGCATTGCTGACTTTTCACTTCCACTTTTTAAAATACATACAATATTAGTAACTCCTAAAGATTTGAATGTGAGGTCACAGGTTCTGGTCTTATCCTGAAACACCTTACCTTCTGCTTTGCTGGAAATTCCTGCAAAACTGTATCTTTATTGGCCAACGAACCATCTTTCAGTTCTGCACAGTTCTTCTTGCCTGGAAGGCTACTTTGCCATCCCCCCTCCCCCACACACACACATAGTGGAATTATTTGCCAATACAGAATCACTTTTTCTTTCCACCATCTTCCCTGAATTTGCCATTTTGAAATGTAACATTTAAATATAACATCTAAAAGATGCTAGGATCATGCAGTAGAGCCAGGATTCAAATCCCCACAGTCTACTCCTAGGCCCATGCTCTCCTAAACTTCTATACTATTATGGCTCCTAAGAAGTTGTGATGACTGCAGGGTTTAATTAGACAAAGTTTTCCTTCAATTAAATTAGAATTTAAGACTTGTTTATGCTTTGTCCCTTATATGTATATATAATACATTTTACATATAGATTACCTATCTTGAGAATGTAGATGTTAGAAAATTATTAATAGAACAGGTAACATAATAAAAATACTGTCATTTTTATTCAATTATCACATGTCCCATTCAGTATATGGGGATATTAGAAAATAGAAAATATTTTCTTACATTTTCTAAGCACATTTTTGAGTTTAAGTTAGAGACTCTAGGAAGACTTATTAACATAGAGGAAAGGACAACTTCTGGGCACATGGTTCAGTATTGATTGGAATATTTAATTACAGAATTTTGAAGATGACATTCGCTATTTTTCACAAAGATAACAAAAAATAATTTACATTTTTCAAACATAAAAACACACCTGACATGAATAATTATTAAAAGAAATATTTAATCTAAATAAACTAAGTTATGTTTTCTAGCCAAATAGATAAAAATTGATTTGATATACTACTCTTTATTTTTTAATTTCTTTAGGAAAATTCATTTTCATAAAGCTAACTGTTATGCAAAGTATTCATAGAATCTATTTCTTTTGAAATTTATTATGGGCAATTTAAAAACACAGTCATGCCTGGCCAGGTGTGGCTCAGCGATTGAGCGTCCACCTAGGATCCAGGAGATCCAGCTTCCATTCCCGGTCAGGGCACATGCCCGGGTTGCGGGCTCGATCCCTAGTCGGGGGCATGCAGGAGGCAGCCGACCAATGACTCTCTCATCATTGATGTTTCTGTCTCTCCCTCTCCCTTCCTCTCTGAATCGATAAAGATATTTAAAAAAAAATACAGTCATAAAAATCATGAAATCTGAATCTCAAAGTTATCTCATCCAAATTCATGGCTTCATCTTTCATTTTTTAATAAAGAGCTCCAATTTTTTCTCATATTTAATTGGTTTTCTTCTAGATTATAAAGACATAACAATTTACATGATAAAAGAGATAAATATAAATGAATAAAATGACTTAAGTGTACTGTGGAAAATGTTACCACATTGCTGTAAATATTATGGATATAAACACTTTTGTCAATTTTTTAAACTACTTTATCAGTCTTTAATTCTATTGCCCTGAGCCAATCTCCTCATTTCTTCCTACT